GGTCCAGACTTCTTTCTGAAAAGTGCTGTCAGGGAAAACTTCAGTCACAAGTCCTTGAGCACATGCTTCTCCTGCTGTTAACTTCTTTCCGAAAACAAGCATCTCTGTTGCCTGAAATGAAAAGCAAGAAGCAAGGTTAAGACAGTAACTTAATAAAACAAGGCTTCCGTTAACTGCTTTCAGGAGGCTGAGATTGATTTACTCATCGTCTTTTGAGGTTGCTGGTATTTCTCAGTAAGGGAGAAGCTGATGACCTCAGCAGGCAATGGTTTGCAAACTGTGTGCGGAGACAGGCTCCCAGGAAGGTCTGTAAGGGCTGCTGCTTCTGTGTGTGTCGTTGTTGGAGGGGCAAGATCAGGGGGCCCAGGGCAGAAATGATCCGAAGCAGATGCTTGATTCTATAACCCACAGCAACTGTGGATTTTCCATTTTATATACTATAAACTATTATTTTAAAGAGGCAAAAAGGAAAGAAAAATCACGGTCATTGGGTCAACCTTTAGAAACTTTCAAAATTCCATTCTCTGGAAACTCTACCCAGTGATCTGGCTCTTAGAGTTTTCTTTACCTGCATTGGTGCTCAAATTCGTTCTACTTGACTGAAGGAAAGTAAAGACTTACAGTTACGCTTCCGAAAAAACTGAAGACATTAAGTGGATATCCTCTCTACATTTGCAGTTTCTTTTCCAGAAAAGGAATGCTCTTCTTTTTTTTGAGACAGGATCTCACTCTGTTGCCCAGGCTGGAGTGCAGTGGCACGATCTCGGCTCACTGCAACCTCCGCCTCCTGAGTTCAAATGATTCTCCTGCCTCAGCCTCTTGAGTAGCTGGGATTACAGGTGCCCGCCACCATGCCCGGCTGATTTTTGTATTTTTAGTAGAGATGGGGTTTCACTATGTTGGCCAGGCTGGTCTTGAACTCCTGATCTCAAGTGATCCACCAACCTCGGCCTCCCAAAGTGCTAGGATTACAGGTGTGAGCCACTGCACCCGGCCAAGGAATGCTCTAATTAGTTAAATGCTCTAAGACTTGTAGAGTCAGTTCTGCCCCCTTCCCAAGTTCAATTCAGGGTATGTGATAGCCTAATGAGAGTAAAAACATAACAAGTTTTTAACAAAATCCTAATAGGCAATGAAAACAGGCTCAGTTCCCGCTGCCCCACTTTGAGATCTTGAAGAATATTTGCCAAGTCCTTTTCCTATAACTCAGCTTCTAGTCTTGTCACAATCCCCTTTAAGTCATGCCACAGGGCATTGGCCACAAGCAAACACAGTGAAAGACCTGAGCAGCCACCTAACCAGCCTGGGAGAGAATACACTGTGAGGCAGGCTGAGGGAGGGGCTGCTGTGATTGGGAGTGGCTCTGGCAGCAGTGAGCCCCCAAAACCTCCCATCTGTTGGTACTTACTATAACTCTGAAAATGAAGACATCATCATGTTTCTCCTTAGGAGACACTGGTCATCCATAAAGGAACCGAGTGGCCTCCAAACTCAGGGGACCAAGGGAGGCTGGCACAGCCCTGGTCCTTCAAGGGACTAATGCCACACAGCTGCAAGGCGGAGGTGTTGTGCTGCTTGCAATGCAGCTAGCACTAAGCAGCCAGCTGAAAGAGGATCCCAGTTCCGGGAGCTGCAGAGAGAATGTCTAATTTTCCCGCATCGCAGATACTTCCCATAGCCTGATTCCTCCATTGGTAAAACTCTTAGAGTTGAAGAGCAAATAATTAGCTTCTGTTTTGTCCACATTAGCAAGGGAAAGAACGGAGAGACCCATTCAATTTTATTTTTAAACATTCCAAAAGTTACCTTGGCTGGGCTCATTATCTTCGGGAAAGTGTAAGAGGAGCATCCTTCTGGACTTTGGCCGAGGTGACTAAATGGTGTATGAAATGTTGCCTGCAGGGGCAGGAGAGAAAAGAAAACCATCTTTCCATGTGTGATTTTTTTTTTTTTTTTTGAGACAGAGTTTCGCTCTTCTGCCCAGGCTGCAGTGAAGTGGTGTGATCTCGGCTCACCGCAACCTCCGCCCCTCGGGTTCAAGCAATTCTCCTGCCTCAGCCTCCCAAGTAGCTAGGATTACAGGCGTGTGCTGCCATGCCTGGCTCATTTTTGTATTTTTAGTAGAGACGGGGTTTTGCCATGTTGGCCAGGCTGGTTTCAAACTTCTGACCTCAGGTGATCCACCCGCCTTGGCCTCCCAAAGTGCTAGGATTACAGGTGTGAGCCACCGCTCCTGGTTTCATGTGTTATTTTAAAAAATCACGATTTGCTTATAACTTCATAATACTTAATAATACTTATTTAAAAATTAAGATTATGTGGTTAATATGCACACACAATTCACCATTTAAAAGTGTATAGTTGGATGAGTTTTTTTTTTTTTTTTTTGAGGCAGAGTCTCGCTCTGTCGCCCAGGCTGGAGTGCAGTGGCGCGATCTCGGCTCACTGCAAGCTCCGCCTCCCGGGTTCCCGCCATTCTCCTGCCTCAGCCTCCCAAGTAGCTGGGACTACAGGCGCCGCCACCACGCCCGGCTAATGTTTTTGTATTTTTAGTAGAGACGGGGTTTCATTGTGTTAGCCAGGATGGTCTCGATCTCCTGACCTCGTGATCCGCCCGTCTCGGCCTCCCAAAGTGCTGGGATTACAGGCTTGAGCCACCGCGCCCGGCCTGGATGAGTTTTAACAAATACAGACTTATGTAGCCACCACCGCTATTGAGATGTGGAACATTTCAACCACCCCGAAAGGTTCTGGGGGCCCTTCTATAGTCAGTCCCTCCCTCCCACCCACAGGCAACCGCTAATCTGTTTTCTCTCCCCACAGTTCTGACTTTTACAGAATGTTGTGTAAGTGGAATCCTACATTCTGTAGCCTTTTGAGTCTGACTTCTGAGAGTCACCATGCTGTTGTATAAGTAGTTTGTTCCTTGCTATTTCTAAGTAGTATTCCTTTGTATGGAGGTACAATAATACGTTTATCATTCACCAGTTAATGCCACTGGTGTTGTTTCTAGTATTCAAATAGTTGTACCATTTCACATTGCCACCAGCAATGTATGAAAGGCTACTATGAAGAAAGCTGCCATGAAAAACAAGTTGAACACCTTAAATATACATAGTCGTGTGTTGCTTAACAATGGGGATATGTTCTGAGAAATGCCTAATTAGGCAATTTTGTCATTGTGCCAACATCACGGAGTATACTTACATATACTTGGACACTACAGCCTGCTGCATACCTAGCTATGTGGTACAGCCTGCTGCTTCCAGGCTACCAACTTGGACAGCATGTTATTATACTTAATACTCTAGGCAGTTATAACAAACGGCATTTGTGTATCTAAATGTATCAAACATAGAAAAGGTAGGCCGGGTGTGGTGGCTCATCCCTGTAATCCCAGCACTTTGGGAGGTGGAGGTGGGCAAATCACCTGAGGTCAGGAGTTCGAGACCAGCCTGGCCAACATAGTGAAACCCCATCTCTACTAAAAATACAAAAATTAGCCTGGTGTGGTGGTGTGCACCTCGAGTCCCAGCTACTAGGGAGGCTGAGGCACAAGAATTGCTTGAACCCAGGAGGAGGAGGCTGCAGTGAGCCGAGATCATGCCACTGCACTCCAGCCTGGGTGACAGAGTGAAAAAAAAAAAAAAAAAAAAGGTATAGTAAAATGTGGTGTTACAATCTTAGGGGACCACCGTTTTACATGCAGTTTGTCATTGACTGAAATGTTGTTATGCCGCACCTGACTGTACAATTCTTATTTGTCAATTATACCTCAATGAAACTGAAAAAAAATTAAAAAATAAAAATGTTCAGATAATTTTAACAAAAAGGTAGTTAGGAACACTTGTGTACAGGTCACTGGGTGAAAACTGAGTGTTTGCAATTATAACAGGTAAATACCTAAGTGGTGGAATGGCTGGGCTGTGTGGTAAATGTATATTTAGCTTAGAAGCTGCTAAACTGTTTTCTAGAGTGGTTGTACCATGTGACATTCCCACCAGCAATGTATGAAAGTTCCAACTGCTCTACATCCTCACCAAACCTAGCTATTAAAAGTCTTCTTCATTTTAACCATGCTAGTAAGTGTGTAGTGGGGTCTCACTGTGGTTTTAATTTACGTGTCCCTAACCATTAATGGTATGAAGTCTTTTACCATGTACTTATTAGACATATGTATATTTTCTTTGGTGAAGCAACTGTTAAGATATTTTGTTCACTATTTTTTAAGTTAGGCTGTTTACTTTCTTATTATATAGTTGTAAGATACACATTCAGGTTGCAAGTCTTTTATTAGAGCATCAGGCAAATCTTTTTTCCTGCTCTGTGGCTTCAGGCAAATCTTTTCTCCTGGTCTGTGGCTTATCTTTTCATTTTCTCAATGATTTCTCTCATATGGTTTTAATAGCCCTTTACATTTCATTTTGTCTAACCTATTCATTCCTCACCATTGCCCATTTTTATTTTAGCTTTATAGACAAACTTTAAAAAATACTGTAGAGAGATCAGCTTTTGTTACATGAGTTGAAAAACTGTTTCCTCAATCTGTCATTTGTCTTAATTTTGCCCCAGTGGTTTTTTGATTGGCTTTAACTACTGGAATTAATTCAATATTGCTTATTTAGTATATAGTCATTTTTAGTTTTTTTCGTTTTTTTACATTTAAGAAACATTTTTGTGTTTCCTGAGTAAATTATGAAACAATGTTTATTTAAAATTTATAATATGTATTTAGATGATAAGAATATCTAAATTTATCTAAATTTTCATATTTAACTTCATAATTTGGCCATATGTATCTAAATTTTATCTAACTTCAATACTAAGAGTATTTAGATTTCATTTCCTATAACCAGACACGGTGTTATTTTTAATGCATAATTGTTAGAAGATATAAATCTATAACGTATGCTATGCAGCATATAAATAAAAATAATCAAAAAATCAAAATATTTTAAAAAGTTTGTTAATGTCATGTATCTTCTTTTTTTATCCAAAAGAAAACTTATTCAAAAAAATGTACCCAGAAGACACAGCCTAAGGAATGTAAGCAGGAAACTGAGAAAACTGCCAACAACAGCTAAAGGGACACAAACAGGTACATGCAAAGTTGCCAATAAGCAGCATTTAAAATGCTTATTTTCAGAAAGAGAGCAGAAGATGGAGTTAAGGGTTTAGGCTCTGGCATCAGACTACTTAGTGACTTTGGGAAGGTTTCTTACCCTCTCTGGGCCACAGTTTTCTCATTTGTAAAATGGGAACCAATCCTTCTTTTTTTGAGATGGAGTCTCGCTCTGTCGCCCAGCCTTGAGTGCAGTGGCACAATCTCGGCTCACCGCAACCTCTGTCTCCCGGGTTCAAGCGATTCTCCTGCTTCTGCCTCCTGAGTAGTTGGAATTACAGGCATGTGCCATGACACCCAGCTCATTTTTGTAGTTTTAGGGGCTTCACCATGTTGGCCAGGCTGGCCTCAAACTCCTGACCTCAAGTGATACACCTGCCTTGGCCTCCCAAAATGCTGAGATTACAGGCATCAGCCACCATGCCCAGCCTAGATTGTAAAAATTATTTTTGCCACATTGGAGGAGAATGTTTGTTTTTATAGACAGGGTCTCACTCTGTTGCCCAGCCTTGAGTGCAGTGATGTGATCTTAGTTCACTGCCACCTCTGCCTCCTGGGTTGAAGCAATTCTCTTGCCTCAGCCTCCCAAGTAGCTGGGACTATAGGCGCCCACCACCACGCCTGGCTAATTTTTGTATTTTTAGTAGAGATGGGGTTTCACCACATTGGCCAGGCTGGTCTTGAACTCCCGACCTCAGGTGATCCACTTGCCTTGGCCTCCTAAAGTGCCAGGATTACAGGTGTGAGCCACTGCGCCCGGCCAAGTCCTTCTTTCATAGGGCTGCTCTGTACATTATGTGAATATGTATGCATGTATGGGTATACTTATAATAAATACAATGCATGTAACAGAGTGCCTAAACAGTGACCACTCAAAGATTTATCATTGTTATGATTTCTACCTTTTTCTTAACTCATACAGGAAATGTATCATTTGCTGACAGAGCTAATAGGCATTAGTAACGATTGCCCACAGTACAAAATAGATAAAATGTACTAATTAATATTTTGGTTATATGGGTTAAATATTAACCCATCATTTAATATATTTATTCTTGAAGCCAATAATGATAAATCCTATAAAATGATTTTTTCTATAGCCTTTTCCTTTAGCATATTTCCATTATTTTATTTATTTTTTACTTATATATTTTTTTGAGATGGAGTCTCGCTCTGTCACCCAGCTTGGAATGCTGTGGTACGATCTTGGCTCACTGCAACCTCCACCTCCTGGGTTTAAGCAATTCTCCTGCCTCAGCCTCCAATGTAGCTGGGCTTACAGACACCCGCCACCAAGCCCTGCTAATTTTTTTTTGTATTTTTAGTAGAGATGGTGTTTCACAATGTTGGCCAGGCTGGTCTTCAACTCCTGACCTCAGGTGATCTGCCCACCTCAATTTCCTTTATTTTAAATTGATGCTTGGTTTATTAGATTGGGTAAACTTTTATCAGCAGATACTATTTGACAAATAAATTTTACTTTTGGCCAAATTTTTTAACATTTAATATACATATGCAATATACATTATAATATATAGACTAGATACATTTTATATATATTGTGTATATATCTTCTCTGATTTCAACATTTATTATAATTTATATCATAAGATGGAAGTCATCAAAATTTTTAAAAGGATGACATAGGCCAGGCTTGGTGGTTCACACCTGTACTCCCAGCACTTCGGGAGGCCAAGGCGGGCGAATCACTTGAGGTCAGGAGTTCGAGACCAGCCTGGCCAACACGGTGAAACCCTGTCTCTACTAAAAATACAAAAAAATTAGCTGGGTGTGGTGGCGTGCACCTGTAATCCCAGCTGCTCAGGAGGCTGAGTGGGAGAATCGCTTGAAGCCGGTAGGTGGTGGTTGCAGTGAGCCAAGATCATGCCGCTGCACTCCAGCTTGGGTGACAGACTGAGACTTCCATCTCTTAAAAAAAAAAAAAGATGTATATTGAAAGTAATTTTCAATTCAGTGGGAGAATCAGAACAAGATTCAAATACCATATTTGCCCTCCAAGTATTAAAGAAAGAGATCCCCAATTTTAGGTCAGGAACTATTGACCCAATCCCTGTTAAAAGCAGGTCGATGACTAATCAGTCATCTAACACAAGACTGTGAACAAAGACATTGATTTCTGCCTTTGAACAGAAACCTCTACCTACAAAGGTTGGGCAGCCTGGCACCTAGAATCTCATTTGCTGTTTTTTGCAGGAAAATTATTCGTAAGAATTAGGTCTGTCAATACATCCAATCTGGTTCAATGGAATCCAGCAAAAGAAAATTCAAAGAATTAAGGATGCTATTATATGGTCCTGTGTATCAGTGGGGAAAACACCTCTGAACAAAACTAGAAATCTCTTCAGTGATAAAAACCATGTTTCCTAGAAGGCTGTAATCAGCACATTTTACCATCACATAAGCATAAGTCACTGGAACACTCTGATGCCCTAAAGGTGGTTATTAGGTGCTTGTAATGATAAAAATTGGAAACAGCCTAGGGTTCCAGCAGGCAGGGACTGGTTAAACAAGATTAAGTTAATAACCCAAATGTTAGGACTGGTTATCTCTAGGTGGTAAAATAAGGAGTGATTTTTACCTTGTAGCTTTTCTTGGTACTTTTTCATATCTTTCAAAATTTTATTTTCCACTATGACATATATATTACTACTATAGTAAAACTAAAAACTAAAATCTATATAATGCAATGGTGAACACAAGGCTGAATTGTGTTCTGGGCAAGGAACTTCTCAGAGCTTCAGTTTTCTTATCTGCAAAGGGAGTGAGAGTAGATAATGCTCACAGTTCCTTCTCATTCTAAAATTCTAAATCCATTTACTCAGTAAAAAGGATTAAATAATCCCTTGCACAACCTGCAAAGATGCTGTTCCTCCCTCCCATAACAAATTTTCAAGTGTCTCCTGAATATTTCAGAGTAACATGAAAACTTGAATACCTGTTGTGGAACTTGAATCTAGAAAATCAGAGTTGGAACACCTGTTTTAACAACAAAACGCAAGTTAATAATGAAAGAAAAAATAAAATCAGCAAATTAGACTAAGCTTCTTGGGAAAAATACTAAATATCAGTTAATCCTACCACCAACAACAACATGCAACCTGCTTATGACTGGCAACGTGCTGAGGCAGGATTCAACAGGAAGGCTCCCCGTCTCGCGCGATGCTTGCCTGACCTCGTTCTTTCTGATGGCGCTGACATTACCCTGTCAGATGCATACACGGCAATCGAATAACCCAAGGAGGGTGACGGAAGATGCCCCAAAGCTGGACATTGACCACTGGCAATCAGAGGCTTAGGAAAATCTATAAAACAGCCCACAAATTCCCTACAGAAATGGAAACACAAAAATCATGAAATGTGCCAAAGCAGCATGACTGAAGCATGGGCAAGACGGTCTGACTCTGAGATAAAGCCTTCTGTCAGGCGTGGGTATTTCCACTGCCACCACCGGCAGCACGCCGCCCCTCCTCGTCCTGCCACAT